AGTCTGTAGTTTCTTGCCGGTGTGGATACTTCAGTCTGTAGTTTCTTACCGGTGTGGATACTTCAGTCTGTAGTTTCTTACCGGTGTGAATACTTCAGTCAGTAGTTTCTTATCAGCGTGAATACTTCAGTCAGTAGTTTCTTACCAGTGTGGATCCTGCGGTGCTCGGTCAGGTGACAGGAGATGGAGAACCCTTTTCCACACTCCAGACAGACGTACGGTCGTTCTCCTGTATGAGTCCTCATGTGTTTCTGCAGGTCTCCTCCGGACGGCCATCCTTTACCGCACACCGTGCACACGTACGGTCGCTCCCCGGTGTGGCGGCGCACATGCACGTTGAGTCCGGCGAGCGCGGTGAAGTCCTTAGGGCAGTATGGGCAGCGGTAGGGCCGCTCTCCGGTGTGGGTCCTCAGGTGGCCCTCCAGACCGTCGCGGGTCTTGAACCGCTTGCCGCACTGCGGGCACAGGAAGCGGCTCTCGGTGGTGTGGCTCGCCCGGTGGGACTGGAGGCCGGTCAGGGAGCCATACGTCTTGCTGCACTGGTCGCACTGGTACGAGCGGAAAGTGTGCGTGCGCTGGTGGATACGGAGCTGGGTCACTCCTAGGGGGAGCATGAGAGGTTAACAGTGAGGTCTGCAGACTGGAGGAGATCTACCTAAAATCTACCGGAGATCCACCTGAGATCCACCTGAGATCCACCGGAGATCCACCTGATATCCACTTGATATCCACTTGATATCCACTTGATATCCACCTGAGATTTACCTGATATCCACCTGAGAAACTCTGGTCACAGAACACCTGTATGAGAGCTACCTGAGTTACCTGAGAAGCTCTGCTCACAGACCTGCCTGAGATCTACCCGAGATCTACCCGAGATCTACCCGAGATCTTCCTGAAATCTACCTGAGATCTACCTGAGTTACCTGAGAAGCTCTGCTCACAGAAGCGACAGTTGTAGCAGGGCTCGGCTCCCTCCACAGAGTGGGTCTGCAGGTGTCTTAGCAGCCGAGTCTGAGAGCTGAAGGTCTGGTCGCACACCGTACATGTGAGGTCCGGCAGCCGGTGCTGCAGCCGGTGGGCATCTCTCTTTTTGGCCGACTCGAACACCTTGTCGCAGCGGCTGCAGGTGAAGCCGCCTCGGTCCAGGTGCGTCTGCTTGTGATTGGTCAGACTGGAAAGGTGGTGGAACTCCTTGTCACACTGGCCGCACTGGTAGACGGGTCGGGCCCGGTGGCTGCGCTGGTGAGAGAGAAGCTCGGCTTTGGTTCTGAAGGTGGCGTTGCACTGGAAACAGGAGTGGGTCCTGGAGGGGCGTGGAGCCAGGGGGCGGGGCTCCGGGGGTCGGGGCTCTACCTCAGGTAAACTCTGCAGGTTCACAGCTCTAGTCGACGACAAGGTCGACCCGCAGGACTTATTGGTACGCAGGTGACGGATCACCTGGAGAGAGAGAGCCTGATGAGCTGACTGGACAGCTGGTCCAAGTACTGTCACTACTGATAGTAATACTGCTACTACGACTACCAATACCAGTTACTGCTGTAACTACTCCTGCTATGACTACTACTATGACTACTAATACTGTCACTACTAATACTACAATTACGACTACTAATACTACTGTTACTACTACTAATACTGCTGTTACTACTACTACTACTAATACTACTGTTACTACTACTACTACTACTACTAATACTACTGTTACTACTACTACTAATACTACTAATACTACTACTACTGCTGCTGTTACTACTACTACTACTACTGCTGCTGTTACTACTACTACTACTACTGCTGCTGTTACTACTACTACTACTACTAATACTACTACGACTACTACTAATACTGCTGTTACTACTACGACTACTACTAATACTGCTGTTACTACTACGACTACTACTACTACTGTTACTACTACTACGACTACTAATACTACTGCTATTGTACACACTCACCTGAGATCGGTAGATGAAACATTTTCCACACTGAGGACATTTGTGAGCGACCCGCTGAGAATTGTGGGAAATGCTGTACAGAGCATTAGCAGTGACCTCAGAGCAGCCTTGCTCTGATTGGTCCACAAAGTCTCCAGATGAGTCATCCAACCTATCCGGAAACAAGGTGATCAATACGGGAATCTCTCCATGGATCAATCTACTGATCACACATCGCTTCACCTGTCCTCCACAATCACAGGTGTGACCGCATATTCGTCGCCGTCCACCGCTGAGCTCTGATTGGACGCCTCCTGCTCCACCGGACCAATCACAGTCTCCTCCTCCACCTCCTGTTCTTCTTCTTGGTCCTCCATCATCACCTCCACCTCCTCCTTCACCCGCTCCACGTCAGGCGGAGGATCTGATTGGATCTCGCTGAGAGGAGGCTCAGGATTGGTTGGTTTGGTGAGAAGGGGGTGTGTCCAGGCGGAGAGGAGGAGCTTCTCTGTGTCGTCACCCACTGAGGGAAAAAAGAAACAGGTGAAGAAGAAGGAGAAGAGGAAGAAGAGAAGGAAGAAAAATAAGAAGAAGAGGATGAAGAAGGTGAGAAAAAAGAATAAAAAAATAACTACAAAGTGATGTCATACCCGTGGTGGTGGCACGACCCAGTCGACAGCTCTGATTGGTCAGCAGCTCCCTCAGCTCGTCGCAGTCCGCCTCCTGCAAACAGTCCTCCAGACCACCGGCGGCAGTGTCGAGCCAGCACGCCGCCTGGAACGCACCAATCAAACACAACAACAACCTTCAGTATCCAAGTAGCCGATAGCACGAGGGCACTAGTTAGCGTTAACTGTTAGCAGCCTAGGGGAACTGAGGACCTGTTTGAAGTCAGGCACAGGAAACAGCTGGTCGATCCTGGACAGGAAGTCAGAGATGAGAGACTGGAGGGCGGAGTCAAAGTCGTGGTGGAACACCTCCTGCAGGAGGCGGAGTCTATCCTCTGGACTCTGAGTCACCAGAGAGGAGCACAGTTCATCCACCTGGTGGTCAGACTGAGAAGACACATCTGATTTATTGATCATCAATAATAATCAGAAACACTCCATATCCCACAATACACTGCTCCTCTCTATCCCACGATACACTGCTCCTACAAGGAGAAGTAGAAGTTGAAGAAGAAGCAGAGTCCTCCCGTCTCACCGTTGTCTTGTAGACATCGTGTTGTCCCGTAGGATCACAGAGGGCCACCTGTAGATCAGAGAGGGTTAATAAATAACTGATCATGTTGATTGGTAACTGAGGTGTCTCTCTCACTGAAGCTCCTCCCACTCTCACCTTGGCCCTGAGAGCCAGCAGCAACAGGCTCTTCTGTCTGTCCGTCAGCAACTGTGGGACCGCCTCTGTCACCAGGGAAACAAAGTCCTCCAGCATCCCATAATGACTCACACTCTGACGCTGAGCAACCTGCCACATGGCCGCCGTCAGCAGGCGGAGAGGAGGGAGGAGGAGGCGCAGGGAGGAGAGGGGGGGAGGAGAGGCTGAGGAGAGAGGAGAGGAGAGGAAGAGCACATTAAAGATGAACTTCATTCTGGTTTACTGAGACACCTGAACGCAACACATATTAGTGGCTTTAGAGGTAAAACATCTCATTCATCACCATGTTTAAGATGGTTTACCTCTGAAAAAAATACATTTTAATTCATTGGTTTAAATGTGAACCAGACTCCGTTCAGAAAACTGTGACTTTAAGGCTCCTGGTTATCAGCAGTTCACTAGAATAACTACTAGTATCACTAATAAGATGGTTTGCTTGGTTATCGGTGACATAGAAATACTTAATAAAACTAGAAGATATTTTCTAAATATATTTATATTAAATATATTTAAACCCCCAACAGTTTGTACTTTTTTATTTTAGTGCCAGTAAAACACGTTAAACTGGTGCTAGCTCAGAGACGTTAGCTAGCTGCTAAAACCACCTAACATCGCTCCTTTAACTACAATAACATGAACATATATTTATAATATAACATGTTCACACATGCCAAATCGTAATGTAACTATAGCAGAGTTATAATAGCTCATAATATATTCTATATTAAATTCAGCAGCCAAAGTAAACTACAAATGTTCGTTTTTTTACATGGAGTCCAGTCCAATAACAACATCAGTTGAGCTAGCTAATGTTTGCTTCTTAGTTATCGAAACAAATGAGACATCATATATATAAAAATGATCATAATACAGTTAATCTATTAATAAGCATCGTCAGCACGTACCCATTCTTCTTCTACGGTGTCTTGTTTTCTTTTCCTACACACGAATAAGAGAATAGCTTGGGAAGCTAACAGCTAGCTGCTGTTTACAGGCTGCTACCGGAAGTTAAAACGCTACTACACTAAACGTTTCCGGTTGAGCCAAAGTTTATTTTAATTGTTTTTATTTATATTTTATTTGTATTGAATACAGATTAAAGAACATATAAACGTTATCAAGATAAATTATAAATAAATAAACCAAGGGATATTTGTATATAAGTATGACGAGGTTAAAGGTCACGATGTGCCTTCAAGAGAAGAAGTTTAATTTATTCATATTATTTATATATAAGCTGCAAACTATATCACATATCATATTTAACTTCACAAAAAGGTATTCAAACTCTAAATAACTCACTAAATATGTACTAATACTACACTTATGGAGTATTTTCTACTACTTGCTGAATTAGGAAATACTTTGTTTTATAAACACATGAATATAAATTATTAAAGTAATTAAAAGAAGAAGAGTTTCTAATGAATCAATATTAATAAATAATAATATTAATATCTTTAGTGCAGATGATAAAGTGACCAGCAGGGGGAGCTGTGGTCACACACACACACACACACTGTCAGACAGGAAGTGTCTCTGTAGACGACTGTTAGCCTCCATTAATGTTTTATTCTCCTCCTTTTCTTCTTAATCCTCTTCTCCTCCTCTTCTTCAAACTAACTGTGACAAACACTGGCTACATGAAGCTAACGTTAGCTAGTTTCAACTAACTCTGACAAACACTGGCTACATGAAGCTAAC